GCGAAAGCAAACAGACATTTCCGCCCTGGAAGGATTCTGCGTGTAAAAGCCAACGTGGAAATGCACACAGGCTTGAGCAGTGGGAGATATATCATGGCTCTCCTCGTACAGCAAAGGGGTGACTGCAGATTTTTACAGCTTTTCATCCTACCAGCCTCTCCCAACATCATTTCCAGCCACTTCTCAAAGCTTCACAGCCAGGCCAGGCTCAAATCTGCATTCATGCATTAAATATTACCAAAACAACAAATCCACAATGGTCTAAGGCTTGAGAAGTGCAAGCACAATCATGCTCTGCTTTTCCATAAGGGGATCGTCCAGCAAAGGACATGGCAGGGCATTACATCACAAGAAGCCCTTTGAGAAGACGCTGTGTTGAGAAGGAAAAAGGAGCCATCGTTCAGGCACGGCACTGCTTTCCATTTGGGTTTACCTCTCCACTTCGGTGACTCCCACCCATGACACCTGTAGTGCCAGAAAGGATTTACCCCAAGGAAAATACCCCTCACCAACCCAATCGCCCCCAAAGCAATTCCCCACATCACCACAGAGAAGGAAGGGGGGAGCGGCGGTGAAGCGCTCAACAAGAAACATTAAAACTTTTGTTTTCATCGGAGAAACTGCCAAGTGACAGCAGTTTCAGGTTACACCCTAAACCTGCCTTGCTATGGTAGTTTTTCAAATTAAAATATCTTCTGTGGCCTTAGCCACTCTCAAGCCATCCATAGGCAAGAAAGAAAGGAGGCAGGGCGACACTTAAGCTCAGCCATAATTGGAAGTATGTGAAAAATGAAGTGTCAGTTCGGTCAATAAAGGGCAAAGGTGAAGGGGAGCTGCAGCCCAAACTCGGTGCGAAATGTGCTCATTAAGACACCCAATCCGAGGGCTCCTGCCCACCTATCCCATTAGTCATCGGCCATCTGACCGCTTCAAATGCCTCCCCGCTCTTATTACTTTTCTTCTCCCATGTTAAAAAAAAAAAAAAAAAAAAAAAAAGGAGGGGGGGAAAAAAAAAAAAAAAAAAAAAGCCAAGCTGGTATATAAATCCTTGCTCAGTCATCTGGAACATAACGTGGCCCTTCTCTCCCCCTCTTCCCAGCCCTGCCTTTGCAGCCTCCAAACAACCGCCTGGAGATTCCCAGCAATAATAAACCCGATTGCCTTTTTGCCTATAGGTTGCTCAAACTCCTACGAAACACTGAAAAAAAAATAAAAAATAAGCCATTGCAGCCATTGATACATTTTTATAAAGAAGTATCGCTGCTTTCTACTCCTGGCTTTAAGAAGCAACAATTATTTGGAGGTTAAAAAAATGTTTTGAACACAGGCTGAGGTTTGGGAAAAAAAAACATGGGAGAAAGAAGAAATAAGCACAAATAAGGTGACACTGATGGATTATTTTTCTTTTTCTTTTAAGCTGTGTAGGAGAGCTAAACATGAGAAATGAAGAACTCCACTCTGGATTAAAAGTGACTGTACCAAGGCTTTGTTCAGCATCTTCCTGGCCTCACTATTTGAAAAACAAACAAAATAGATCTCTCAATATCCCAAACAGGAATCTTTTGAAGTTACAAGACACAGTAAGATAAAACAGTGCTGCCATGAGCTCAGCATCACCTGCCTATACACAAGAATTTGCGTCTCTTCTTTTAAATAGGATTTAGTGAATTATTTCTCCGCTCTGTAAATTCAGATCTCTTTGCACCATTTGGAGACAGACCTCCAAAGGCCTTTGCCATTAAGTTCAGAGCAACGGGAAAACTTTTTCATAATATTATTCTGCATTCCTGTACTATAACTATCCCCTATGATGACACAATACCAGGCCTTTAGGAGAGGTTGTGTCAACGTACTATGCAATAACATATCCTGCTGTTCAGTGGCACAAGACCTCAGAACAGCTCCCTAGCAGTTAAATATGGATTTCTGCAATAGATCGAAGCAGCTGGGAGTTATTACTATTTACTAAGTAAATAAATTTACACGATTAAAAAGACTTTAAAATGTTTACAGGAAAGACCGTCTCTCCTGATTTCAAAGGCAATCATTTGATGAGTGTTGTTCACTGGGACATAAGTAGGTTGAAAACACACATTGCAGGATTTGTTGTGATGAATAAGGTAAAGAAGAAAAATCTCAAAAAAGTCCAAAAATAGACCTTAACATACTCTGGCTTAAGGACTAAAGAGAAAAGTCTTGCTGAAGGCTTAAGCTTTTCCAGTAAATGTGTAAACTTACATTTACATCCCTGTGATACTTTCAGCCAGGCTGCAAACCTGGCCCAGAAGGTGCTTTTCCCTACCCCAACAAGGGAAGTAGGTTGTGAGAACAACCTAAAACCAGACAGTTTTAGAGGGTTTTATTTCTGGTGATCAGATTTGCTTTTTTTTTTTTTTTTTTTTTTTTTTTTTAAGTGGCAAACGTGATCTTGACAGATGGAAGGAACCAAAAGGAACTTTTACAAACTCCTAAAAATAGGGAAGCTCATAATATACTGAATATATGTCACGCAACGCATGCATCTCGAGTTAACTCCTCTACTTGCAAGCATGAGCATGTGGGTCCCCAGCCTTTTGCTGCCACCCCTCCGCAGCACCTGGCTGCTCTGGCAGTGCCATGCTGGCTCCTTCTGCTGCCAAGAAAAGCACCCAGCAGTGGTGAACACAGAGGTTTAACCACAGTGTTGCACTCCTAACATCAGGCCACAGAAGAAAAGCCACCAAATCACAGCATCTGGAAATTAAATGCAGTTGGGGAGAGGCAGGGTATTTGCTACCTTCTTGTTCTCTTCTGTTTCAGTCCTTTGGGGTCATATTTTTTGACTTCTTCCCCATAGGGAAATGCTAAAATCCCATTTTGGGTTTGTTTTTTTTTTTTACAGAAGGTATACATGCAGGCATGGGTGTGGTTAAACAAATGAGCTTCCCATAATCTCAAACCTTCAGAGCATTTCATGTAAACAAAACATAAAGCAAGGCTCAGCAAGACCACCACTACCATTACCACATTCCTCTTCCTCAAAAACAATGCCATTTCCAAAGGTGGCAAGTGGCCTGAAGGCAAGTCTTGGTAACAAAGATGCCCAGGATGGGATCTCTTTTCCAAAATTCCTTCCCCAAACTTGACCTGAGAGCTCCAGTTATCAAATTACCACTTTTGTTACTCTTCTCCAAAGTTTTAATGCAATGAGCCCTCTTCACAAAACACTCTATCCAAGCACTGGCAGCAATTCCAGCCTCAATAAACCAGTGGGGTTTGGGCAACAGTTTCAGAACTGACTAAAGCATCACTGACAAGTTCTTCTGCAGGTACTTCACAGGACTCAGGCTTGAAACTCACTTTAGAAAACCCCTCCTGACTGAGGCTGCAGCATGCACCTTGCTAGGAACTGACCAGGATGGCAGTAAGACCTCAGATATGACCAGCACTCCAGACTACTAAAATGCCACATTTAGGAGAAAATGAAGTCTGAAAATCTTTAAAAGTGCACCAGGAGCTAAGCTCAATTTCCAACGCGTTCTAGGAGCATTCTGGCAAGCCTCCCCACAGATGTTTTGTCCACGCACATATCCACATAAACACACGCACATCCGTCTAATAAAAGAACAGCCCTAACCAAATACAAAAACCCCCTCAAAACACCACATTTTAGTTCAAAGCTTATTTTTGAAGCAGCTTTTTCAGCCTTAAAAAAAAAAACCCCATGGATTTAAAGTTTTCTCCAAAAGCAAGGGGCTCTAATGAACAAGTTGACACCACTTCAACTATAGCATTGTGAACAGCACCACTAGAATATATATGTATACACATACTTGAAAGAAAAAAGGCCCCCTGAATTTATGTTGCATATCATTTTCCAGTAAAAGTCAGAGGTCATAAGGTTACCAGTTTCTGCCTCAGCTCTGCAACAGTTTACTATTCCAGGCCCCATTTTTACTAGGCTACGCTTGCGATGAAGTCAGCAACTTTTCTTTAAACAATAACGAGTCTCAAATACTTAAAATTCTATAAAGAGATGTTATTCACCATGTACGTTAAATCCATGCATATAAAAAATTAAAATATACTGGTTTAGTTTAAAAACTAATCTTGTTAAATGCAGACTTTGCAATGCTAATCAGTACTGCTCAACCTTTTTTTGGAAACACAATTCCTTTGTTGTCTAACAGCACTTGAATGAAACATGATCATAAAACCAGATTTAAAAGTATATACCTATTGTGAGTTCAGAGTCAACTTCAATAATGTACTCTCTTTTATATTCAGATTAAGGATCCTTTTTAAATTTTAATTGCATTAAATTAACACTAAATCTACTGCAGTTGGTCTCTTCAGAAAAAATATGCTTTTAGTTTCACAGAAAAAAATAATCCAGAGATTCAGCTTTTCAGACTTCAGAGTTTCTGAGACAGCACTGATTATTTGTAGACTGTCCCACTTCCATTGCACCAAGCTCATTTCATCCTCGCCCTGCTAAATCAGCTACTCCGGCCTGGCACTCAGACAGAACGTTTTTGCATTCAAGTAAATTGGAATTGAGTATAAAAAAGTAAGTAAAAACATAGCTCAGGATTTTGTAAAATGGGCCAGCTAACATCTCTTCTTTATATGTAATCAACTTTCGATGGCATCTTTGAAATATTAGCATGCATTTCTGCAATCTTAATTACATTTGGTTTTGAAGATTTCATCTTTTAACCCATTTGAACGAAGAAAAAAACCCAAACTTCTCATTTCTTATTTTTATTAAGCACACTGCAAATTTGGTACATATGTTGCTCTAACATGTGCCTGCTGGCAGGGTCAAAGAAATAAAGATGCCAATCCCTTTACTAGTAGGAGATGGAGGAAAAAATGTCAAAAAAAAAGGAAGATAGATCTTTCTCAGCACAAACCCTCTAGTACCCAAGCATATTTCCACACCAGAAAGAGACTAACCAGTCCCTGAGCACGCTGGTGACCACTTGCCAGCTAGGAAAGTGTGAGGGCTCTATTCCTAC